AGAGAGAGAGAGAGAGAGAGAGTATAAAGATATGTATCTATATTAAGTGCTTTTGTATTCAAATATCGGCCACGTGACACGTACTCATCTGACATAAACCTATCCCTATTTCCCTCGCTCGCGAAACGCGCGGGAACGCGACGGAAATGGGTCACGGGAACGCAGGCGGCGGTATTCAAAAGGAGCCGATCCGCGGCGAGACGTACGGGACCGAAAGCGGCGAGACCGCCGCAGCTGCTGGACAGTGAACCTGCCAACCTGTACGTGCAACTTGTACGTATATGCGTGTTAACACCGGTGGGGTACGTGACCCCACCTCCGTCGCGCACATCAGGGACTATCACTACCTACCTACCTACCTCTATTCAGGAGATCATCTTCCCGAAGTAAAAGCCGAGTACTGAACGAGCGTGGGCACAGACAGCATCATGCGCTTGGTGAGTACGAAACCACTCATTCACTGATCAGCTTTCCCGCTTAGTGAACTTTCCTTCGATTTTCTCTTCTTTCTCTCTTTTTTTTTCTTTCCTTTTCGTTTCTTCGAAACACATCAGCTGTGTCGATCCTCTTCCTGCTCTCCTCTTCGCGGTGGTGGATTACGCATTTCTCGTGTCAAGTGACAGTGACTCGAATAATATCGATCTCGATGAGTGCGAATTAGTGATCGGGTACAGGTTTAGAAAAACTTGATGGTGACACAAACGTAATAATATCTCGAAGCCAGCTGTATCTCAAATTATGCATTCGAGATTAAAAATTGCGAATTGAAGATTAAAATTTAACCAACCGAAACGAAAAGGGATAATTTTAAAATTAAAATTATCTGAATAATTAAATTCTAATTTTCAATTTGCAATCCTCGGTCTCCAATGCGTAGTCTGATATGGGCTTTACGAACCGTAATGCACAATATATATAAAGTCTTGATTTTTTTTCTTGTGAAAGTCCACAGACATGGCGGGATTTTTGCGATAGAAGGAGGGATCCACTCATGAATATTCTATATCACTCGGTCTCGGAATTGTTCGGATTGCTGAAAGACGCTCGCGAGTAATCTCCTAGGGCGTTTGCGAGCACGGAACCACGGCCACGTCGCCGTCGCGTCGTACCTTCGATGTGCAGTTTTTTGTTTGCCCGCGCCGGGATCAAAGCGCGACGCGCACGAGTACGCTGAGAATAATCGCGAAAGACGAGCGGGAAGATAACTTTTGCGGAGCTACACAGCCGCGCTCGATAAATCTTCGTCGTATTACTCGAATAAAATGTAAACGTAAAGTGGAATAATATAATAGCGTAAATCACGTACACATGT